TTAGCAGTCAAGTGCCTTAGCCACTATGCTACCAGAGAAATCACTACTTCACCATTTATCCTGATGCAGCAGGTTACTGGGCTTGTACCTTCCCACAACAATCCGTCAAAAGCTAAGACTGACCAGAGTGATATCAGCCCACAGGCATGTCAGAGTATCTGCACAAGCTGGTTTAGCAGTTCCACTGCTTGAGGCCATCTGCTGAAGAAAGTCACCAGTATGAGTTCTTCAAAGCAAATCACCCAGAAGCAGAGATGGATGCAAAGAAACCACAAATGTAATGTGTGGCAGTCTGGGTGGGGCCCTGGGAGTATCTGTTACAGGTTCACCAGCCACAAGGGTGCCAGGTCTGGATTGTGAGCAGAGTACGTGAAGACCTTTGTAGCATAAGCCTGCATCAGATATGAAAATAGAAACTCCTTCAGCACACGACTGTGGTCATGTTTTTTGTTGGGCACCGGGAAGTCAATTTTGATTCATAACGACCCCACGTGACAGAGTAGCACTGCCCCATAGGGTTTTGTAGTACAATGGATAGCTTTTATGTGGTCTTCCTACCCATTGTCTTGTTGTTGTTGTTGTTATTTGCCATTGAGTTGGATCCAACTCATAACGACCCCTCCTTGGGTTTCCGAGGCAGTATCACTATGGAAGTAGATTGCCCCATCTTGTAACTTCTGCCAAATAACTAGGTGGGCCCACCAAGGGCATTGGACAGCTTGCCAATAGTGCACATAAGTGTGTGGCATCTTTGTGGGGGTGGGACCATGGAAATAAGATGTGTGGAACCCTAACAAGGGGATTGGTTAGTTTTGCTATCCTGACTGGTTTAAAGGATAGCCCAGAAGTGGGAAAGGAGGAACCTCACTACCACCAAGAAGAGCCAGGAGTAACTACGGACTTGAGGTCCCTGCACTGAGAACTTCATAGACCCAGGGGACAAAGAGCTATAACACCGGAGATGGCAAAATATGGCAAGAGGGGGCAGCAGGGAAATGCGGGCAGCAGAACCAGGAGACAGCCACAGTGGAGTCACTTTCTGACTCACAGAGTGAGGCAGCTACTGTGGGGTGACAACCCACAGAGCGAGAGAGCTAAGTGCCTTTGAGTTGAGGCTTCTTGGTTGAGTGGGGGTTTCATGCAAAGTGTACTTACTGGTGTAGCTAATGACCTTTGTAACACTTGCCCTAGCAGGGCAGGGGCCAAGGGGCCAAGAGGCCAAGGGCCAGAGAGAGACCTGCCTGTGGGTAAGGATGAAAAGAGGCTATCCTCATTGAAGGACTCTAGCCTGAGTCTTTTCTGATCCTGACTTGGAACCTGTTACTTCCCTAATAAATCCCATAATCATGAGT